ACTACCATATTTTACACAAATAACACGTGCATTATGCTTTGTGCCAACCGTGCAAGCCCCTCCCCCATTATTTTCCTAAGCATGCCATATGCATTATATGTGTAGGCACGTTATTTATGAAAAAATGCGGTAGATAGGAAACTTAGGGGGCAGTAAATTTATGTTAATGGAGGAGGAACAACTCGGAAAAGGAGGGTGAGAACAGTTGCACAACTTGAAGACAATAATCAATGTCACTGAATTGTACATGCAGAAACTGTTGAAATCTGTATGTTTTCCTGTGTATACTCTGAACAAAAAGTAAAATAAATTATTAAAACATATTTGAAGAAATGAGTATAATTGTACCTTTGATATTATCTGACTATGAGTAATTCATTTTAATACCCAATTGGCTATGATTTCCTGGTAATCATTGTGCCTATGTGGGAATTCTGACTAAGTGAGAAAAACCTAACCTACCAATTATTTTCAAAGGTAATGCTATTTTTATGATTACTATGAAGTTGGGGAAAAAAAAAAAAAAAGCCACCTACTTGTGGTATTTTTGTTATAGCAGTCCTAGATAACCAAAACAGGGCCCATCTTTATTCTTTTGCAGGTGGACATCCAAATATTCCAACAGCATTTTTTGAAAACTATTCTTTCCTCATTGAATTGTCTTGACACTCTCTCATAAATCACTTGACCATAAATGTGAGGGTTTCTTCTGGACTCCTAGTTCTATTCCACTGATCTATATGTCAATCCTTATGCTTCATTCCACTGTCTTGATTACTGTAGCTTTGTACAGTCACGCATCGCTTAACGTCCACGATATGTTCTGTGAAACAGGATGTTGTATGATTTGGACGTTGTGTGAACACTGTATTACACACTTAGCAAAGCTATATGGGATTCTGTAATATATATGTGCTCTACCATTATATGCCTAGCAGTGCAACTGCTTTATATACAAGAGATAGGAGATAGGTGTGTCACGGGCAGGAAACTATTGCGTTCGTGACATCTGGTTATGTCCCGTTATCCAACTGAATTTCTGAACTCTGTTATAACCTTATGGGATCACAAATGTATACGTGGCTGGATGCTGGCCAAACGGAAGTCACGCGGAGCATGTTTGTAGTGAGTTGTGAAATCAGGAAGTGTTGATTCCTCAAATTTTGTTCTTTTTCAAGACTGTTTTACTAGTCTTGATTCCTTGCATTTTAATATGAATTTTATAGCCAACTTGTCAATTTCTGCAAAAAAAGGCACCTGGGATTCTGACAGGAATTTTGATCAACTTGTTATAGACCTATTGTAAAAATGGCGTGGGGGCAGTGTCTGACCTCCTGTAAGTTCACAAGGGGGAAAGAGAATCAAGATAAACAGCCCAAGGCTGATTCCCATGAGGTGGAAATCAGACATAACCTACCTCCTTGCTCCGTCATCTTTACCAATTTTGATGCCAACCGTCCCTCCACAGCACTCTCCACTTCTCTGTTGGGTTTGATAATTCACTGCAATGGCCACAGAGAACTCACAGACAATACTCATGACTATGGGGTTTATTAGGGAAGCAACAAGTTACAATTCAAGTTCAGGAATGCTCAGGGTACAGTTCTTCCAACAGGACAGCCTCTTCTCAGCTGTGCCTGCAGGCACGCCTCTCTCTGGCCTACTCAGGCAAGTGTTACAAAGCTCTTTTAGCTCTGCTGATTAAGTCCCAGAGGTACCCCACTCTGCCAGTAAGCCTTGACCTGAAGGTGCTTAGCTCTAGCTCCACGGGTCAGCAAACCTAGCTCCAGCAAGTGCCCAGAGGAACCCTACTCCTCCAGCAAGTCTCCTGCCCAAAGGCACTCAGCTGTGTTGCTCTGTGGGCCAGGAAGCCCACTGCGCCATCTCCTGCCACCGTTTCTCTGCCACCGCTTCTTGCCATCTTTAGTATTACAGCTCTCTCTCGGTCTCCTGGTTCCAGGAGCTTCTCAGCACAGGATCCCAGGTCTAAAAGACACGTTCCATTCCTGGCTCTCCCTCCCTGGTGGAGGTGGGATTCTCCCCTGCTCTGGAAATAGCTCTCTTTTAAGCCCAGCAGGATGGCAAAAACTGACCAATCTCCTTGGTAGGCCACAATTACCTTATTTGCACAGTCCCGCCCAATCACTTGGGTAGGAGTTACAAGACCATGGCGAGAAAGGCTGCACAAAAGCAATCCACTGCACTGCAGCTATTAAAATTTTCGATTTCTTCTTGAGTCATGTTTGATAGTGTCTTAGTTGTCTAGTATCTTAGCTGCTATAACATGAATACCAAAATTAGATGGCTTTAACAAAGAAAAACTTATTCTCTCACAATCTAGAAGGCTAGAAGTCCAAATTCAGGATGCCAGCTCTAGGGAAGGCTGTCTCTGTTGGCTCTGGAGGAAGGTCCTTATCATCAATCTTCCCCTGGTCTAGGAGCTTCTCAACACAGAGCCCCCAGGTCCAAAGGACGTGCTCCCCTCTTGGTTCTTTATTCTTGGTGGCATAAGGTTCCTCTGTCTCTCTGCTCACTTCTCTCTTTATTGACTCAAGATACAGCCTAATCTTGTAGATTGAGTCCTGCCTCATTAACATAACTGCTCTAATCCTGCCTCATTAATATCACAGAGGTAGAATTTATAACACAGGAAAATCATATCAGATGACAAAATGGTGGAATCGTGGCCTAGCCAAGTCAACACACATTTTCGGGGAACACAATTCAATCCATAACAGGTAGTTTGTGTGTGTTTTTAGGAATTTGTTCATTTCATCTAGGTTATCCAATCTGTTGGCATACAATTAATTGTTTATAAAATAAAACAAAAACAAACCAAGCTCGTTGCCATCAAGTTGATTCTGACTCATTGAGACCCTATGGGACAGAGCAGAACTGCTCCATAGGGTTTCCAAGGAGTGGCCGGTGAACTCGAACTGCCGACCTTTTGGTTAGCAGCCGAGCTCTTAACTACAGTACCACTAGGGCTCCAACTCTTTATGGTGTTACCTTATGTCTCAGTCATCTAGCACTGCTCTAACACAGATACCACAAGTATGGTTTTAACAAAGAGTTTATTCTCTCAGTCCAGTAGGCTACAAGCCCAAATTCAGGGCCCGAGGGAATGCTTTCTTTGTCAGCTCTGGAGGAAGGTCCATGTTATCAATCTGCCTCTGGTCTGGGAGCTTCTCTGCACATGAACCTCAGGTCCAACGGACGCGCTCTTCTTCTGGCACTGCTTTCTTGGTGGTGTGAGGTTCCCATGTGTCTCTGCTTGCTTCTCTCTTTTCTATCTCAAAAGAGATTGGCTTAAAACACTATCCAATCTTGTATACCTCATCAGTATAACTGCTGCTAATCCATCTTATTAGATCATAGTGATTGAATTTACAACACATAGGGAAATCACATCAGACTACAAAATGGTACACAGTTATACAATACTGGGAATCACGACCCAGTCAAGTTGACAGATATTTTTGGGGGACACAATTCAATCCGTGCTACTTTATAATCCCTTTTATTTCTGTAAGGGTGGTAGTTTAATGGTCCCCTCTTTCACTCCTGATTTTATTAATTTGGGTTTTCTCTCTCTTTTTTTTCTTTTTCAGTCTAGTTAAAGGTCTGTCTATTGTTTTGCTCTTTTCAGAGAACCAACTTTTGGTTTCGCTGATCTTGTCTGTTGTTTTTCTATTCTCTATTTCATTTATTTCTGTTCTAATCTTTATCTTCTTTCCTCTGCTTCCTTTATGTTTCGTTTGCTCTTCTTCTAGTTTCTTAAACTGAAAGGTTAGGTTATTAATTTGAGATCTTTTTAGAGGTAGGTGTTCACAGCTACAACTTTCTTCTTGGGCACTGCTTTTGCTGCATCCTGTAATTTTTGGCATATATGCTTTCATTTTCATTCTCCTCAAAGTATTTTGTAATTTTTATTGTCATTTCTTCACTGCCCATTGGTTATTTAGAAGAGTATGGTTTAATTTCTACATATTTGTTAATTTTCTAAATTTCTTTCTATTATTTATTTCTAATTTCACTCCAATGTGGTCAGAAAAGATACTTTGTATGATTTTTTTTTAAATCATTTTAAATTTACTTATGTTTGTTTTATTGCCTAACATATGGTCCACCCTGGCAAATGTTCCATGTGCACAAGAAGAACATGTATTCCGCTATTATTGGGCTGAGTGTTAGGCCTACCTGTTACATAGTGTTGTTCAATCTTCTATTTCCTGGCTGATTCTCTGTTTAGTTCTACCACAAACATTTAACTTTAAACTATTATGCAATATAGTCAGTTTAGGAATTTAGGGTACCTTTTTTAAAGGTTCTGTGTCTGGGATGCTAGTACTGCTAAAATATTAGGTTAGACCTCCAGGTTAGAAATCCCTCAGCTTTAAAGTGTTACCATTTTAGAGATAAAAAACCATATTCTGGGGAGACCAAAAAATAAAATAAAATCTCAGCTATAGACTCTGGAGAAACTTGGGGCCCCTTAAGATATTTCAAATATCTCTAAGAACAAAAAAATGTACTCATCTCCTTTTTATCTAATGCTGAAGACATGGAGATCTTTAATAAATCCTCACTGATGACTATGGCTTTCTGAGAATTCAAAGTCCACTGCAATACACCTGGCTCTTTAATCCTAAATGAGCTGAGGATCACTGCTTGAAATCATGTACAAACTTGTCTGTAAAGGACCTGTTTATAGCAGATCTTAATTTGTTCCTCTGCTACTTTGTTACCTATTTGACACAAAAATTGTCTGCAAATGTAGTAGCTAGTTACTTTGTGCTGTTTTAGTGAGATGAGGACTGATGTGATGAGACCAAGAATATATAACCCCATAAAAATGGTGTGGCAGGGGCGTCTGACCTCCTCATCTAACTTCACAAGAGGAAGGAAAGAGAATCATTTTCAGCATCAACAGACCAAAGCTGATTCCTATGAAACAGAGGTCAGACATACCTCCTCTCTCCAACTTTTTTAACCAATTCTGACACTGCTGTCCCTCCCACAGCACTCTCTACTTCTCTGCTGGGTTCTATAATTTGTTGCAATGGCCACACAGAACTCACAAACACTACTCACAGTTATGGGGTTTACTAGGGAAGTAAAAGATTACAATCCAAGATCAGAAACAATTCAGAATACAGTTCCTCGATCAGGACAGCCTCTTCTCAGTCATGCCTGCAGGCAGGCCTCTCTCTGCCCCTCGGCCTCTCTGCCCCTCTTCCTTGCTTAGGCAAGTATTATAAAGCTCTTTAGCTCCACCAATAAGTGCCCAGAGGTGCTCAGTTCTCTAGGCCCGTGGGTCCGCAAGCCTAGCTCTGCTGACCAGTGCCCGGAGGCACCCTACTCTGCCAGCAAGCCTCCTGCCCAAAGGTGCTCAGTTCTCTTGTTCTGTAGAGCAGGAAGCCCACCAAGCCATATCCTGCCGGTCTCCTGCTTCTGCTGCCTCTGCTGCTGCTATTTCTCTGCCACTGCTTCCTGCCATCTCTCACCTTCTCCAGTGTTACAGCTCTGTCTCTATGTCTCCTGGGCCTAGGAGGGTCTCAGTGTAGGGATTCTGGGACCCAAAGATGTGTTCCAATCCAAGCTCTTCTTTCTTGGTGGTAGTGGGGTCCCCCTTTTCCACCTCTGGGATGGCTCATTTTAAGCCTAGCAGGATGGATGGCAAAGCTGACAAATCCCCTCATTTTATATACCTTATTTGCATGGTCCCACCCCCACAAGGGTGCCATGCACCTTGTTTGTATTATTAGCAAGCTGTCCAATCCCCTCGGTGGGCCACAAGTACCTTATCTACATAGTTCCCTCCAATCATTTGGTAGGAGTTACAAGACCACGGCAAGAAAGGCCATATAAAAGCAATCCCTTGCACTGTAAATCCCAGTTCCCTTCTGTACAGTGAGATCAGCATGAATCCAATCCCCAAAATGTAGAGACTGATCCACTCCTCACATTTCCACTTCTTTGTCACTAGCTGCTCCCATGACGTCCCTTCTCTAAGTGTAGCTCCTGGAGCTGGGTGAGAGCTCACAAATTAAAAGGATACCATCCTTCAGACTGCCAAATAGACAGATGCCAGCCGTAAGTTTGTGGAGTCCACGCAACACCCCAAACTTTTGACCTTCTGGTCACAAATTCAGGGCTGCTTTCCCACTATTCTTTAGGATGCCAGCAGCAAGCTCAGGAGTCCACATGATACCTTTACTTTCTGATATGATGGCTCCTACTGGCGCTTTGGGTTCAGTAATTTGCTGGAACGACTTACAGAATTCATGGAGAGTATACCACATTTGTAACTGTGGATTTATTATAGCCAAAAAAAAAAGAGAGACTCATAGGGCAAGGTCTGGATGGGTTAACAGTGCAGAGCTTCCATGAGTTAAAGACATGCTATACTCCTGAGAGCAGGTATTCCCACCAAACAGGAGGCTCTCTGTGCCTCCATGTTCAGGGCTCTTATTGGCTAGTCCTATATGATAGGTTAACTCATGCGTCTTTGGGCTAGTTGGTAACAGCCTCCCAGGTGAGTCTTTTCTGGTCTGGCCAGGCCCCACTCTCCAGCACAAATTCTTTGGTGTGGGCTGCAAGTCCCAGACCAAGGCACCCCAATTACTCCAAGGGTTATTTCTCCAGAGCCAAGGACAAATGCCATCTTACCTAGGGTAAAACAAAATTCTTTATCCCATACCTTCTCATGCTGTGGTTTGTGAAGTTGCACCAAAATATGAAACAGCAACAAAGAACACTGGCTGTAAGCTATCAAGAGTCTCTATAGCTAAAATAATATGTAAGGACACTGAGAATCTAAATTTTTTTGCAGTCAAATGGACACATTTTAGAGGTTTCCATTTTGTATGGCATCAGCACCTCCTCGTAATGCCATATTTAACATGACTTAAAGCATGAATAAAATATTGAAAGAAAGATACAGACAGACAGTGGAGAAATAGGCAGACTACTGCAATAGTCCAGATGTGAAACAATGAGGGCACAAGCAAAAACAGCACAGTGACCAGGAAATACATGATGAAAAACGTGGCCAAAAGAATACCATAAACGTAATAATTAAACTGTTAAATTTTAAGTAAAATAAATATATTTTCATTTTAAGTCCAGATGAGACCTCAAGGGTAGCATTTAATCTGGACTTGAATAAGAAAGCGATGTAATAGCTGAACTAGAAAGATTAGGTACTCTGGAAAGGTAACAAAAATTTCATCGAAGTGACTCTTAGCCACATGCAGGTAAGACTTGGAGAATGTATTTCTGGAATTGGTATAGGACTTCATCGTTTCTAATGTGAGACACACACTGGGCTATGACACTGGTATTCGGTTTGGGAACTGCTCATGTGGGACAAATGAACCATACCATTACCTGATAACCTTCTGTTTTCTTCTGACACCACTTCAGCAAGGCATTCCTCTTTGATCCTCCATATTCTCTTGCCAGTGCTGAGAGAGGGTCCTTCCTTTCTTCCCTGATAAGTGAAAATAAGGAACCCAAAGTTGAAATATTTTTTAAACTGAGCACTAGAATAAACTAGAAATCCAACAAACAGTGAGAAGAGAAGAGTAGTAGTTCGTACTCTTTAACAGGAGAAACGCACACGCTAAGGTCATCATTTCATGATAGCAATCAACTTTTAGTTTAAGGTCTCACAGACCACAGAGGTCTTGGCTCTCTGAAGTCCTCGAGAGGGATTCTACTCCTCATCCACATGGCAAGTGACCAAGATTCAACACAGTATGCATTCACAATTAATGAAATGCCTTCCAGAATGTTCTGAAGGGGGAAGAACCACCGGACACTGGTGGCATCTCAAAGCTATGGTTCTTGCCTTTCATTCACTATCTTATCCTTCAACAATCTTTACGCTTTGGTTTTCTTTTACCATTTTTGTAGCCAACCTTTTAAGTCCTTAATCATTTCACCATATGTGATGTTTAAGACTGTGTGTCATCTTGGCTGGGCCATGATTCTCAATGTTTTAATGTGATCACTCCGATGATTGAATATACAGTGAATAGCCGATTGGATGAAAGGAACTCTCCTTGGGGGTATGGCCTGCATCTGAATATAAGCAGATGTTCTGGCTTTTTGCTCTCTCTGGATCCTGCGGCTGCCTCCTGTCATCTCATCTCTGGTTCTTGGGACCAGAGCTGTCAGCTTATCTGCTGAACTTGGGAATCGTCAATCTGCACAACCTGTGAGCGGGAGCCCTGCTCTCTGACCTGCCGATCTTGGGCCTGCCAGCTTCTGCGGCTGCGTGACTTGGGAAAGGCCTCTACCCTGATCCACAGACTTGGGATGTTCTAGCCTCTATAATCACGTGAGCTGTTTCCTTGATATAAATCTCTCTCTCTGTATATATATTTATACACTTTACTGGTTTTGCTTCTCTAGAGAACCCAGCCTACTACATTTGGTACCGGGAGTGGTTCTAGAGAAACAAAATTGTAAGGATGAGTTTTCTAAATTGGTTCTCAAGTCTGATTAGTCTTAAAGACATTGATGACTCTGCTTCCAGCAGTAAAGAGGTCACTGCTAGTCCATGAAGCGAGGTGGCGATACAAATACGCAAAATATCACCACCGGTAGATCAGGTATTGGTGAAAGGCGAGGCTTAGGGTGAACATACATGTGATATCTTTCTACAGCTTTGTCAGAATGAGAAGTTTAAGGAAGCTGATTGGTTTGTCCTATTTTTGCTAGACAAAATGGTGAAGGAAAGAGATGCACTCAGGGCTTCAGAGTCAAGGCTCAAGTACCGCATACATGACCTCAAGGCTTCCACTTGTGCTTTGAAAGAAAGCCTTATTTCTTGTAGTAACAGAGCTGAAATTGCTGAAAACCAAACTCAGAGTCTTACTGTAAAAGTAGCTGAATTACAAGGCCAGCTCAATTGCAAACCTCGAGAGGGGTCTGAAGTTAAGGTAAGGGCATTGACTGAGAAGAAATGGGATCCTGAGACTTGGGATGGGGACATATGGACAGATAATCAGGAAGCTGGGGACACTGAGCCCGTAAGTTCCAATCAATCACTCCTGCCAGCAGAACCAGTTCCATCTGAAGAGATAACTTCATGTTTGTCTGCTAAACTACCCTGCCCAGAAAAACCTTTAGCCCCTCCACTCCCATCTAAGGGTACTAGCCCTAGCCCAGCTGCCTCTAAAAAGCCCTTGCCTGAGTCATTGCCTGGAGCATCGCCTGAGGTAGATCCTTTTCAAGATAATGCTGAATGGTCTCAAAACAAATCCACACTACCGATTCTGGCTTCTAGACCTATAACTAGGCTGAAGTCCCAACGAGCCCCAAAAGGTAAAGTACAAAGTGTGACCCAAGAGGAAGTATGCTATACTCCCAAACAACTACTTGACTTTTCTAATATGTACAAATAGAAACCTGGGGAATATGTGTGGGAATGGCTATTAAGGGTGTGGGATAATGGTGCAAGGAACATAAAGATGAATCAGTCCGAGTTTATTGATATGGATCCACTAAGCACAGATTGTTCATTCAATGTTTCAGCTAGAGAAGTTAGGAAAGAATCTAATCGTTTATTTGGTTGGGTTGTTGAAGCATGGATTATGAGGTGGCTGACACTAAATCAAGCTGAAGTACCAGACCTGCCTTCGTATACTGTAGAAGAAGGTATCCAAAGGCTTAGGGAAACTGGCATGCTAGAGTGGATTTATCAAGTTAGACCCAGAGATCCACACATGGAGTGTCCGGAGGACACATCTTTTACCACAACTGTGAGGAACAAATTTGTGAAGGGAACTCCAGCATCCTTGAAGACTGCTGTGATTGCTATTTTATGTAAGTCAGATTTGACAGTGGGAACTGCCCTAACTGAATTAAGACACCTAACTATAATGGGGCTGATTGGACCCCGTAGCAGTAGGGAGCAAGTGGCTGCACTCAATCAACAATGACAAGGTGGGCGTGTTTATAGTAATAGACAGAGGAGTCAAAGTAGTAATCAGAATATAGTCTGACTTGTATAGACTTATGGTGTTGGCTACTTACTCATGGTGTCCCTAGGAGTGAAATAGATAGGAAATCTACTAAATATTTACTTGATCTATACAACGGACGAATTCTAGGTCAAGTGAACAGCAGTCTAACTTGAATTGCTAGAATAGAGAGTCATGGTCCCTCAATCAATTCCCAGATTTGAGCGAGTTTAAAGACCCACAACCCCTTGAATGAAGGGGAGGCCAGGTCCCCTTGAGGAAGGACTCCAACACACTGCCAAAAATGTTTACTGTTAATCCTTCCCCCAGCCTTCCCCAAAGGGATCTATGTACGGCCTTTTACGAGAGTGAGTGTTCACTGGGGAAAAGAAAACAATCAGACTTTTTGGGGATTACTGGACACTGGCTCTGAGCTGACACTAACTCCAAGAGACCCAAAACGTCACTGTGGCCCACCAGTCAGAGTGGTGGCATATGGAGGTCAGCTTATTAATGGGGTCCTGGCTCATGTCCGTCTCACAGTAGGTCCAGGTCCCAGTTCCAGAATGCATAATTGGAATAGATGTACTCAGCAACTGGCAGAACCTTCACACTGGATGCCTGACAAATACAGAAAGGGCTATTATGGTAGGAAAAGCCAAGCGGAAGCCATTAGAACTGCCCCTACCTAGGAAAATAGTAAACCAAAAGCAATACCACACTCCTGGAGGGATTGCAGAGATTACTGTCACCACCAAGGACTTGAAGGATGCAGGAGTGGTGATTCCCACCACATCTCCATTCAACTCGCCTATTTGACCTATGCAAAAAACAGATGGCTCTTGGAGAATGACAGTAGATTATCGAAAACTTAACCAGGTGGTTACTCCAATTGCAGCTGCTATTCCGATGTAGTTTCACTGCTTGAGCAAACTAATACATCTCCTGGTACCTGGTATGCAGCTATTGATCGGGCTAATGTCTTTTTCTCCATACCTGTTTCAAAGGACCACCAGAAGCAGTTTGCCTTCAACTGGCAAGGCCAACAATACACCTTCACTTGC